CTTTGACTTTCCAGATGAAAACATCATGCTGGTAATCGACTGTGCGAAACCTGGACCGTATGGCGGACCTAAACAAGGATCCCGATGGACTATGGTCTTCGACGGGGCTTCCAACGCCTTGGGTAACGGTATTGATGTTGTGATCATCTCTCCTAAAGGTTGCCACACTCCTTTCAATTCCAGACTTTACTTCGATTGCACGAATAATATGGCCGAATACGAAGCATGCATCTTGGATCTAAAAGCTGCCATTGACTTGAGAATCAAGCATTTGAATGTGTTTGGGGATTCTGCTTTGGTGATTAGCCAAGTAAAAGGAGATTGGGACACTAAGCACCCTAATCTCATCCCTTACAAGGAACTTGTGCTATCCTTGATCCCTCACTTTGAAGAGATCACCTTTGAGCACTTCCCTAGAGAAGAAAATCAGTTGGTTGATGCCTTGGCAACCATGTCTTCAATGTTCAAGGTCAGATGGGACAACGAAGCCCTTATAATTACAATTGAGAGATTCGACGAGCCTTCCACTGCTGTGACCTTGACACTGACACAGAAAAGCCATGGTACCATGAGGTGATGAGATATCTTGAAGCACAAGAGTATCCCGAGGCAGCATCCATCAATGACAGAAAGTTCTTATGAAGATTTGTAGCTAAATTCTTCCTAAGTAACGGGATATTGTACAAGCGTAACCATGACTCTACTCTACTCCAATGTGTGGACAAGAAGGAGGCAGAGGAAATTATGGAAGACATGTACGATGGTATCTTTAGCACTCACTCAAGTGGACATACAATGGCCAAGAAAATCTTAAGAGCTGGCTACTATTGGTCAACAATGGAGACTGATTTCCATCAACATTCAAGAACTTGTCACAAATTCCAAATATATGCTGACAAGGTCCATGTGCCTCTTATACCTCTGAATGTCATGACCGCTCTGTGGCCATTTTCAATGTGGGGCATTGACATAATTGGAGAGATCAAACCCACCGCTTCTAACAGACGCTTCATTCTTGTCGCTATCGACTATTTCACCAAATAGGTCAAAGCTACCTATTTTGCCTCAGTCACAAAGAATGTGGTAGCCAGATTCATCAGACACAACCTCATCTTTCGTTATGGTATCCCTGAAAGGATCATCACCGAAAATAGGACTAACCTCAACGATGTTATGATTACTGAGCTTTGCACTCAGTTTAAGATCAAGCATCACAATTCTTCTCCATATAGACCTAAAATGAATGGCGCAGTCGAAGAGGCTAACAAAAATATTAAGAAGATTGTGCAGAAGATGGTAGTAACCTATAAGGACTGGCATGAAATGTTACGGTTTGCTCTACGTGGCTACCGCACTTCAGCTAGGACATCAACTGGGGCAACTCCCTTTTCCTTAGTCTACGACATGGAAGCTAGTTTTCCAATGGAAGTTCAAATTCCCTCACTAAGGATTATGAATGAAGCAGGTCTAGGCGAAGACGAGTGAATTCAGACAAGATTGGATCAGTTGAACTTGATCGACGAAAAACGACTGGTTGCTGTCTATCATGGTCAGACGTACCAAAAACATATGATCAAGGCTTTTAAAAAAAAGATCAAGCCTCGAGCATATCAAGCTGGTGACTTGGTGATAAAGTGCATCATTCTGCCACAAGGCAATCCCAGAGGCAAATGGACTCCCACCTACGAAGGGCCATTTGTTGTCAAGAGAGTGTTTTCTGGCGGTGCCATAATGCTGACTATCATGGATGGTGAAGACTTCCTACATCCTATAAACGCGGACATAGTTAAAAAATACTATGCATAAGAGATCCTCTAGGTTGACACACCTAGGCAAAATAAGGGCATCCCGGCAAACCAAAAGGTTTGGGCAAAAATTAGGGATATATGCAAAAGATTGTACACCCGGCAAGTTGAAAACCCGAAAGGGCGACTTGGGCAAAAATGGATATCCTGGTGGGCTGAAAACCCGAAAGGGCAGTCCAGGAAAAGTTAAAGATTGAAAGTGTATGACTATGTCCCGTAGAATCATCACAGTCAATTTTATCACCAAGGTCCGAGTTCAAACGGTCCAAGATCAATCCAATCAACTTCTGTCAACGGCGAGGAGCATTCAAAGACATTGGGGCAATAGTAGAGTAAGAATGCAATGAGATCATTTCACATGGCTATTTATTTTATTTTCAATTTTTGTTTTCCTTTCAACGATTTCCTCTTACTAGGATCTCCGTCTCTTTGTACAAAAAATGCCTATTCATGGGCCAAATATCAATATAAATATACTTTGAAGTGCAAACTTTCTGTCTTTATTTTGAATGTAAATTTGTCCAATGACTAAAATTAAACGAACATATGTATATAAACATAATTAAAACTGTTTGTCACATATGACCTAAGCAGTAACAAGCACCTCTTTAATGTATCTGGAATATCCCCACAGAGTTATTTCATTAACATCATCCTCAACAAAGTTACTCACAAAGTCTCTGCATAGGATAATCTCTAACCAGGGTCTCAATCTCTTAGCGGCTCTCCCCCGGGTTAGGTTGATCCTACAAGTAGAAGCCTTGTGAACCTCTTCCTTAAAGAACTCACTTCATTAGCAATCCATCGAGTGTTCATCAACAGAGTTTATTTCCCCAACATACAACAATCGAGGAACGACGAAATTCCTCATCTTAGTCTATCCTCCCTAGCTGAGTCTGTATTCCCCGGGCATAGTCTATCTTCCTCAGCTAAACCTGGTATCCCTAGCCGAGTATATCCTCCCCAAGCTGAGTATATCTCCCCAAGCTGAATCTATCTTCCCCGACTGAGTCCACACTCTCCAATTTGAGTTGGCCTTTCAGACTATTGCAAATCATAGGGCCACAACCCCTAATCCCCAGTAAAGTTGTCAATAAAACCTTTATTATCTCCAAAAGTTACTAAGAAGCCTGGACCCGACCGGATATTAGTACAACCTTCAAACTATTATGAAGCTTGGACCCGACCGTATAATAGTCAACTTCTCAAGTCACTATGAAGACTGAATCCGACCAGATAATAGTTAACTTTGCAAGATACTATGAAACCTAGACCCGACCAGATAATAGTTTAACTCTTCAAAATATAGAAGAACCTGGACTCGACCAGACCAAGGTTTAATTTCTTTTCCCCATTAGAGTTTGCCTCTACCCCAACAAGTTATTGTGAGGCATGGATTCGACCAGATAACAATTACCCTCAGAAATTCGTTGTGAAACCTAGAATCCGACCAGATAACAACTAAATCCCCAAGTAGTTTATTGTGAAACTTGGACCCGACCAGATAACAATTAATCTCATCCACCTCAGAAATCTGCAAAGCCTGGACTCGACCAGATATCAGTTTTCAAGCAAGTTATTATGAAGCCTAGAGCCCGACCAGATAACAACTAGCTACAATGTCAGCAAGACACTTTCGACCAGATATCAGTCTTCTCCAGTAAGTTACCGTGAAGCCTGGATCCGACCAGATAGCAGTTGACTTCCTCGTCCTCAGCAAATTGTGAAGCCTGGATCCAACCAGATAACAACTAACATTCAAGAGATATTCCTCAGCGGAAGCATCCTTTCAACAAAGTTTGAAGATATGTATACTCGTCGTCCCCAACAGCGATCCGAGATTTAGCTTCCCAAAATTCCTCAACAGCAGTCAGGGATTTATTTTCCCAGACGAAAACATGCATCTCACATTCATACACCATAGTACATACATACAAAATGCATCTAACATAATACCACATCTTGTGAACATCATACATACATCTGCATTTGACTAACCCTTTTTCCCACAGGTAAAACATCAAGTTTTAGTATCAATCAACCAAAGATTTATGCTGATACTTCTTCCAGTGTTTACCATCATTCCTCCAAATGACATCTATAAGCCCATTCCCAATACATCTTCGAGTGCAGATTTCTAGACACTCTAGTGTTCAATCATCTTCCACCTACATGCTTAATCTCTTGCATGAAACAAGAAAACATGGATGCAAAGTTAACAAAGACCGATATCATATACTATTGAGAGTTGATTAACTTGACACATACTATGTCGTATTTGGCACAAGCAATCATGGTGATCAACCAATTTATATATGATCCAAAGAAGAAACACTTAAAAAAAAAAAATGTAATTTGTGTTCTACAATATTTGAAATCCCTTACAAAGAGATGAATCTTATTTAAATGAGGTGTAAGGCTAACTATGAAAGCTTACATTTATGTTGATTATGCAGGTCCACGGACTCTAGATTCATATCCTATATGTCCAAAGAAGGAATGCTTTGATTATTTGGATATAAAAGTCGTTGGAGTCATTTAACCCAATAATAATAGGAGTGAGTATTTTCTAATTCTTAATCAATGTAAAATAATCTTTTAATTTATAATGATCAGAGTGAGTATTTTCTATTAAACCATATTTGGAAGTTGGTTTTTTCTAAATTGGAATTTTGGTTAGTTGATTCATGTGAAAAGTTGTACTTTGCTTGTTGGCCTGCCGCAGCTACATTGTCCATGTTGTCAAGGTTTTTCAACTCAAGGAACAGTTCATTCCTTTTCTTATGATATTTAGTTGTTTCTTTATTCCCTACAATTTCATACATGTTGTCCCTGTTTATTTGTTTGGTTTCAACTCACGTTTATTTATTTTTATGCAGATATGTTTCATAAAAAATTAGCAACAATTTAATTATTTTTAATTGTTGAATATATGGATACCACTAGTTTATATGTGCATAGATATTCTATAGTATTTTTTTCTGCAGCTATCAAAACTGTTTTTTTTTGTTGTTGTCAATTTTCCATGCAATTTGTACCTGCTTCAAGTACAAAATGATAAAAATTAAAAGACTTTAAATTACTTAACTTCCTACCAAAATCTCAAGCTAAGTTCTATGAGCTGAAAGCTAGAATTAAAAAAATCTAAATGGCTTGTTACCGTCCTAAAAGCTAAAAACAAAAATTGAAAAACACTCATTCTGGTGTTCTTAAGCAACCTCCAGGAAGAAGGAACTTAAATTTATCTGCATTTTCTATCAAGTAAGCTGGAAGATTAACCGCAGAAGCCGAACGAGGTATCGGTCCTAACTTTTTAATCAACTCCTGGAACGAGTATTCTTCTGGTAGCATATCGAAAAGATCATTTCCTTTGCAAATAAGTTCCTGAATTCTTGAATGACTAAGGAAAGATTTCCGTTTGACACGGTCTGCGTGACTATAAGCCGTCATTTTGAAGACAAACTCTGAGATATACCGAAAGCAAAAGCTACAATGCCATCCCGCGTCTGATAATATAGCATTCGTTTGGCGTGAGTGCCGATAATATGACCGAGGACCATAGACGTGGGCGCTGGCTCGCCAGCTGCTGTAGTCCACGGGAAACTCGAACGAGTACATGTAGTTTCTCAATTCAAGATGCATTATAGGAGGAATCCCATCGCACCATTGAAGAAGTTTCAAAGTATGAGGACTCGGAATCTCGTCTGTATCCGTCATGAGAAGAATGTCGTCATTGGAAACCCCTGCACGGCGTAACAATGTATTCATGGCTCCGCGTTGTTTTGACTCGAGCACAAACGGGTCCTCGTTTGATCCACGGACTGCAATTCGACCGGGATACGAGTCGTGGACAACTTTCTGTTTAGCAAACGCAAATCTTTCCTTGTTTTTGGCAAAGAAAAGAGGCTTTGGAATGCCTGTGAACGTGGTACTGGACTCGAGGATCACGAATTTATACACATACGGATAAAGTTCATGCCATCGAATCTCTAACAAGTCTAACTCATTACTGAAGATAATTGCATCGAAAATGCGGCGGGGTTGGGAACGAAGTGACCAACCATGAAGTTGGCAGAGGTGATCCATAGAGACATTTTCGGCGTAAAAGTGAGGTATAGTTGTGAAGGGGGCAGGCGGGTTGTCCCATAGCGGTCGGAAGAAATAGGCAACCTTTTGGCCATGGACATAAATTCCAAATACACAAATTGGCACAAGTAACAGAAGTAAGAGACAGAAGAACTTAGGATATTTTCGTCTAGAAGAGACACGCGTTCGAAGAGTCATACCTTGAAGGGAAAATGATTAAGAATTCTAATTGATTTTCCCAATTCAATGATCACCTGTTACAATTTTCAATTTTAGCATATAAGGTATCAGAATTCAGAAACAAACAAACTAAAAAAGTTAACAACACATTCTCTGCATTTTTTCCTTAAAAACTAAACAAATCAAATCAGAAGAATATTCTAACAAATCCTCAAAATTGCAAGACAACTTGTTCTTGTTAGTGAGATAAAGAAATGCTTGTTGTTGGATTCCAAAACACTATCTATAAATAGGAATCTAACTGTTTTGTTAAATCCGACACTCTACCAAAAAAAAAAATAGGAAAAATTGGAATCCAAGTGTTTGAAAAGCGAAGAAATAGAATCTAAACAGGAAACAGGAAGCATTTAAACAAGGAATTAATTACGGAGCACACAAGAATTGCAAAGACGGAATAATTAAAGAAAAATAAATAAGAGAGAGAAATTACCTAAGAAGTTTTGTTGGGAGTTCATTGAAAGAGCCAGAAACTCTAGAATACTGTTCTTTTTCTTTTTGTTTTCTGGGTTTCTCTCTAGAATCAAAGAGGAAAGAGAGAAACAAGCATTAACAACAACAAGTCAACAACATTAATTAATCTTCGACACCTCATTCAAAAGCTGTGCCTGTCATCACGTGGTTTCGTTTTCTCTCTCTCTCTTTCTCTCTCCTTTTCATATTTTCATCTATTTCTTATAAATTTCAAGTTCCACTTTACATATTACATGTAAATTGAGTAAAGTGAGGCAGCAATAAAAATTTAAAGTAAATAGTAGCAATTTTTGTTTTCATTTGTTTTGTTAACTCCTTTTTAAAAATGTTGGCGATTTATTTTATTCATTTCTTCTTTTATTTATAGTTTATGATATAATTATCTTTTTTTTCTTCATTTTTATTTTCTTTTAAACAATTCAATGTTAAAAATAGCTTATGCTATAGTATCAATGATTTTTTATCACCAACCATTATAATACTCTAGCTAATAATGAAATAAGTAATTTTCTATAAGCTCTAAAGTTTAAATAATTTAGCTCCAAAACTTAAACAAATATTTATATGTATTTAATTTTTTAAAAGTTGTTTGTAAATGACAAATAGCATTATAACTATTTTTTTGTATTTATATGCATTTTTTAATTTAATAAGATAATTGAAATTAATTTTTGTCAAAAAGATTTAATTAACCTCGTAGTTCACTAATTTAATTTATGATTTCATTTTTATGTTTTACTTGATAAACATTACTTTTAAGTTCTTAATAACATGTCTATTAACTAACTTGATCATTTTTAAAATAAAAAAAAGTTTATTTATGCTCATATGACAAACCCTGTTGACATAATTGATCAAAGTGAGTAAGTAAATCTTAATAAAACATGATCTTTCGCCTTCATTCTTCTTTTGCTTATAAGTATCTCAACAATTAGTAAATTAATAATTAGTAGTCATTTTATCTACTACTCAAATATAATATATTGTCAAAATATTACTATCAAATTTTATAATATTATGTGGTGCGTTACATATATAAAACGAGTTACATTGTTAGATTAAAACTAAAATGCATCAAAGGATATGTCACAATCTTAATCTATTATGGTTCCTTTTTTGACTTTTCCTTATTTATTTCTCTTTTAATATCGCTCAACTTGATAAACTCTTCCATCCTCTAGAGAAAGTGATATGGTCATCTTGTATGAAATCAAATGTGTCGTTCACTCTTATAATGTCTTTAGTATAAGACATCCCGATTTCAAATAAACATGAATAAAATATTTTTTTTATAGCCAAGCAATACACATGATGCGTTTAGATGGATTTTGAGGTGGCTTACTTCGAAGTGGAAAGAACATTTCCCAGAAACCATTTTGTGTTAAATAATACACACCCTATCATAAACACTTGCTGTAACGGACCCAAATCTTCTAATTATAACAAATGTTTGTCTTCTATCCGAACCAATATCAGACCTTCCAATTACAATGTCATTCCCCAATTTTTCGACCTCCTTGCGGATCCATTGTAGCATATGCTCACAAACAATAAACTCTTCTTTATTTGTAAATTATGCACAAACATCTACCTCGACAACAAAAGGTCGAGCAACCGATTTAACATCAACATTCCCTTCATTTTGTTTAACTTCATAATTCACTTCTTATGGTTTAAATACTTCGATCAGTTTAACATCTACACTCACAATAGCTTTGAAAAACATATCTGAGTACATCATATCTAATAATACCAATAACAGAAAACAACTTTAAAACTCAAACTATCAGGACAATCCAAATATGCATCTTGGTGGATTAGAATAAAGGCTTTAATGTTGTAACATTGTGGTTTGGATTTTTATCAAAAGTATTTTCTATATTTTGATATTATGTTATAATTGAGATCATTATCCTATTGTTATGTTTGAAATTCAAATACTATTCATGAATACAAATTTAAATACTTATGTGTGATGTGACACCCTTATTAAGGAATATTCTTATTGGGGTTTAGGGTGTTATAGGTAACTTAAACAATATATCATATTTGTGATCATTGCATACTAGGAAAATAAGATAAGGTGAATTTTGAGAGTGTTATGCATAATTTTAATAGATCATTTGAGTATATTCACTAGAATTTTTGGGATTCACAAAATGGTGAAAACACATGTGGTAGTTAATGTTTTTTCACTATGATTTATGTTTTTTTTTCCTAGAAGAGTATGAGTTAATATTGTAAAAAATAAAAGTGATACATTTAAAAATTTTAAGAATTAACATACTTTAATAGAAGATTAATTGGAATCTAAATTAAAATTTTAAAGAATTGATAATTGTCTAGAGTTTGTTTCAAAGAATTTTAATGAGTTTTCATGAAATAAAATATTAAGAGGCATATGACCGTTCATGAAAACCTCAACAAAATCACCTAGTTCAACACATGAATAAGACGATTTTGGATAGAGTAAAATACATGTTGTTAGGAGCTGAGTTACCAAAGAAATTTAAAGAGGTAAAATTTTATGTTGCATGGCCTAGATACAACTTACTTGATAAATAAATGTTAATCCACAAAAATAGATTTAAAGAAACCTATGGAAGTTTGAGTGAGAAGTCGATAGTAACTAGAAGGTTTTCTAAGATTTGGTGTTTAGGAATATCAGAAAAAATAATATTGATGATAGGAATATGGAAATGTTTCTTTATTGATTATCCTAAAGGTGTAAAGTGGTACAAATTATGAAGGTGTGAAGTGGTACAAATTATGAAAGATTGAACTTGGAAACCACAAGTAGGAATGTTACTATTGATGAGACATGTATGGAAATGAAGTGAAAATCATGTTTTTACTTCACCATCTAATAGAGCATTGAAAGATCTTTCCAATACATCCAGGTTTGCATAAATCGGAGTTACAAATCTCATATTATGATGAAAACAGAAAACAATATTTCAGAACCCTTGATTAGCAAGCTCAAGGCGAGCTCTAAGAGAAGTGAGGAAGAAAGCTCAAGTCTGCAGATTTTCTCTTCCTAACTTAGCGATATTCATGTGAGATGTCCAAGCGAGCCATCGCCAAACGAGCTTCCATCGAAGCTCCAACGAGATGAAATAGAATGCGAGTTTCTCAATTGTCACTGTCTCGTTTAGCGGGACATTTTCTCACCTAGCGAGGTTAGCATAACAATTATGTTCTGTGAACTGATACACTCACCTAGCAAGTAATCCTCTCGCCTAGCGAGAGTGACAGAACATCACTTTTGATAAAGCATGAATGCTTGCTTAGCGAACCATTCTCCCGCTTAGCGAAAAATGCATAACAAAACCACTAAGAAAACGAAACATGCATATTTAGGATATTTTTCTACATTGTGCATTAGAACTGAATATTTAAGTATTGGATTTTTTATATGCAGAATTTGCTGCAGAAATACGTTACATGCATATTTTTCTATAGATTTTAATTTATATGCCTTTTTTTCCAAATTTTTAAAAGATTTGTACATAATTTAATGCATATTTATCATATTTTTAAAAAATTATTGATAATATATGTGGGAGTGTATCGGATTTTTTTTTTAAAATCAGATAGAAAAACAATTTGTTTATAATATTCTTATGCTTGATTTTTTACCTTGTGGAATTTGTTACGAAAATACCCTACTTGCGATTTTTTCTTTTAGATTTTAGATTATATGCATTTTATTTTAGTTTTTTAAAAATAAATATTTAATTTTATGCATTTTTACCGATTTTTTCAAAATATACAGTAATTATATGTATTTTTATTGGATTTTTTTAAACATAATTCAATAATAACCCTTTTTTATAATATTTTAAGTGTTTGATTTTTACTTGTGGAATTTATTGTAGAATTTTATGCGGAAATATTTTACCTGCAAACTTTTTCTGCCTATTATGAAATTTATGATATTTTTTTACCAAATTTTTTAAAAGTACAATAATATTTCGTCTAGCGAGAGTGACAGAACATCACTTTTGGTAAAGCATGAAGGCTTGCTTAGCGAACCATTCTCCTGCTTAGTGAAAAATGCATAACAAAACCACTAAGAAAACGAAACATGCATATTTAGGATATTTTTCTACACTGTGCATTAGAACTGAATATTTAAGTATTGAATTTTTTATATGCAGAAATACGTTACATACATATTTTTCTATAGATTTTAATTTATATGCCTTTTTTTCCAAATTTTTAAAAGATTTGTACATAATTTAATGCATATTTATCATATTTTTAAAAATTATTGATAATATATGTGGGAGTGTATCGGATTTTTTTTTTTAAAATCAGATAGAAAAACAGTTTGTTTATAATATTCTTATGCTTGATTTTTTACCTACAAAATTATTGTGGAATTTGTTACGAAAATACCCTACTTGCGATTTTTTTTTTAGATTTTAGATTATATGTATTTTATTTTAGTTTTTTAAAAATCAATATTTAGTTTTACGCATTTT